AGAAGTAAGAAATGTACAATGGGCTACCGACTGATCCATCAGTTCATTCTGAGTCGTGATGGCATAAATACTCTCTCAGGTTCCTGAAGTCCTGACCTGTAAGTCTTGCCCTCGGCCTTGACTCATGCCATGACCCATAGTGGGGTAGGGATGAATGTAGTGTGTCTGTGGCTGCCCCACCGACGATTAGGATGAGATGTCCTCGAACTCCAGGATCCATGCCTCTAAGGGCAATCTCGCCTCTTATGACTCGGCTGGTGACAATAATAGCAAGCTCTCTAACCTGCCTGTCTTGAAGGCCTGAAGTGTCTCCCACCTTGGGAGAATTGCCCCTGGCCTTGGCCCACATCCTGGCTCATCTGGCCTACTTGCGGAGTCTTCGCATGTGAGGTACTAGGGACTTGGACAGCACCCTGTAGTTGGAACAGATCTCCTTGGTTCAAAATAGGACAGGGAGGAACAATGTGTGCTTGTGTGAGTCCCATTGATGACTGGGATTGAGATGTCTCGGAACTCCGTGAGGTTTGCCTCAGGAGACAATTCTTCCTCACATGGCCCAGTTGTCAACAATAGAAACATGTTTTTTGACCTCCTTGAAACCTCCCCTTCCTCGATTTGCCATCTACACACATGTAAGATAGCAATAGAGCTGCACATAGTATCCTAAGATAGGGATCAAGTATAAACTTTGAGATATCTCTCCTTGTCTCCCTAGTAGGGTGCATGCCACCACTGTGAGACATTTACACCTTGAACTATCCCGTTCCTTTGTTCTCCGACCCCCAAGGTTATGATTTCTAACCCTAATGTCCCTTTTCCATATACATTTCGCCATGTATATAATTCGTATAGAACATAGCACATAATCATGTAGCAATTAAAGCAAATAATATGAAATGCACAATTAATACAATGGTCTAGACCCCATGCCCACCAAGCCTTAGGTAAATCATATACCTATGCTATGATACCAAGTTGTGGCTGGTATCAGAGTCTAAGCTACACCGTGGGCTCTCAACCTCTTTCGTCCTTGCAATGGAAAATGATAGACTCATTTTCCATAAGGTCAATATAAAATTTTTGACCTAAGCTCTGATACCAAGCTGTGACGCCCCTAAAATCGGGGGTCCCATTGACCACCCGTCAACCCACGGAGATACCCGTGATTGTCGCATAACCCGACATCACGTCTATCACATCCCTGTAACCAGGATTACAACCCACACGAGGATCATATTTTCTTTAATCTTTTAATCCCATAGAGGTTCAATATACCCCAATGTATCTCATTTAAGGTCCATTTGTGTCATTGGAACCAAAGAACACATAGCCCAAAAGCATGACAATGCATTCTTAAAATTTCAGATTTTTAGAAAACTTTCCGGTAGGTTTTCATAAACCTTCTGGAAGATCAAGCATACTGGAACCCTACCTTTAAGAAAGATGTGTTGACCTTCCAGAAGATGTGTTAAACCTTCCGGAAGAAGTTACACACTAGATTCCCTCATTTTAGAAAAATGTAAAGACCTTCCGGAAGGTTTTACTCACTGTTCAACAGTTTTTCCTTGTCTTTGTCCAAACCTTCCAGAAGTTTTTGCCTAGAATTATCTGTTTCACTTATTTTTCATTTCTAATTCATCCAAAACATTTCCAAACTCATTCCCAACATGTAAAATATAATTTTCTACATTATATATGATTCATACAAGTTTTATCACAAACGATTTCATATATTTACACGCCAAAAACCTATTTTTCACAATTGTTTTACAAAAATCCAAAATAAAGCCACATTCTGGCTTTCTTCATCCTTGAGGCCCCGAGTGAGAGCCTTCCACCAATGTACCACCCGCACCTGAAATATTTTCCCGTATAGGGTGAGTCACACCTAGTAGAATATGTGCTACAGAGGCTACTCCCCAACCTAAGTGCATATGCAATGTTCACATGCAACATTTTCCAACAACAATCATTCCAACCAAACTAGAATATGCAATTCTATGTTATGCTATGAAATGAGATGAGACTCACTCATGCATCTTAACTCGAGTCCTCACCGACTCCCACTACACAATGCAATGCACATGTGTAATGAATCTATCAATTGAAAAAAAATACATCCAATGATTGTTTGAAATAAAAGTGATATATTTATAAAACCAAATCATTGTGGATGTTACCCATTGAATAGGTATTTTTATAAAACAAAATCTTGTGTCTTTGTTGGGCAATAGATTTTGGAATCACATTGCTGGCTCCGTAAGCCTTTCTGCACTTTTTGGACTTGCACCAATAGAGTGTATGAACCAGTAGTCAGGTCTTGCACCCAAGGACGTGTCTAGCCCTTCTTGCTATATCCAATACAAGTTTTCTTTTCTATGCAACCGTGGAACTCTGTTGAACCTTGGTTCAGTGGTACCGAGCCCACTTGTCATCCACCGAGGATGGTGTTTGACCCAAACCATGCACCCACACCCAAAAAAAATTTCGATATCTCCATGCATATGCAATATAATGCACCATTGCTATTTCAATGTCATGCCCATACGTAATGAATGCCACATGAGTAACTTTAACATATATTTTCATATTTCATGGTCACTCATATCATATGCATATAATAGCCAAATTTTATCTCAATGTTAATATATCGAAGAACATATATCAACATGTTCATATCCAACCATAATCCATAAGCATGTTATTTCATATATGCCAATAACACAATTAATTCACGAAGGCATAATTAAAGCACATAGCATGCCCACACAAAATCAAGTTCCATGGAATTATACAAGTAATTACCACATACTAATTCCAACCTAGGAATCTAATTGAAATTAGGTCAATTTCCCATACCCAATTCACCAAATCAATTAACTCCATCATTTCCACATCCATAGGCAAGTGATATATATCTCTATCAACCTACCCATTACATAAAACACCCTAAGTTGTAAAATAAACCCAAGTAGGAAGGAATCCTACCTCTTGAAGTGTAACCCACTTGGTAGACACCTTCAAGAACTTCAATCAAGCTCAAATCTTTGGTTTTCTCAAATCTCATTTTTCAACCTTTGGTGAAAATCCTCTTTTTTGGTACGTAGGCGTAGCCCTTAATGAGGAGATCAACTTTTCCTCTTGGCTCGAGCTGATTCGAAGCCCGTGGAGTCGTAGATCGTAGAGAGAAGGTGGCCTTTTTCTCACTTTTTCCTCTCTATCGGCTAATCGGCTGAACAAATGGGGGAAATATCAGATTTTCCCCCCTATTTATACCCTTTATTTGCTTGGCCCATAACGTGTCACACGACCCTATTTTCTCAGGTCCGTTTTTGCCCCGAAACGATTAAATTTCGTCCCAATTTAAGTTCAAAATATTTTTCTTTTAACTTACCTTAAATAATTTTCCAACTTTCAAAATTTTATTAAAAATTTTGTTTTTGGGGTCACCCGATACTCGACCGCCTCGTAAAATGTGAAAATTTTGACTATTTCAGAATTTGATGAAATTTGACAGGGTAACTAAATTTCACGAGACAAATCCAACGTTAAGGTCCATTTCGTCATCCGAGATCTAAAAAAATTCAGGTTTTCAACCCATACTGTAGCAAAAATTTACCATTTTACCCTTTTTGTAAAAAGTTTCAATTTACCGAGTTTTACACACACGCACACACACGAGTTGCACATCTCTGAATTTCTATCTTGGGCTCCTCCTCATAAAGCCCATATATCAAGCTCATGGTCAACATTCCTTTTAATATATTTTCTCCTCAATTTTCTTTTTTCATCCATTAATCACTATTAGTGAGCTAGGGATTCAATTATATATAATAAATCTTATTTAAATATATGATAAGTGATCCATAAAAAAAAAATTGAAATCAATAGACAACTACAATACTGTATATGGGCTTCAACTCAAGAAATATTTATGTTATCATCGAGGTGATAGCCTAGTTGACTTCAATAAAAGGTAAAAGTCCTGCATTCCTCTAGTAATCATAGGTTCGAACCTACTTATGACAGTAGCCTCACTAAACCAAATATTGTTGGAGGGGCTAAATGTCTAACTTACCTTCGACAGTACTGTGGTGATGGGCTCAACCATCTTAGGTCAGTAATTATGGTTCAAGACCAATATTTTACAACAGGTGAAAATCTCAAGGTAACATCATGCGAGAGTTGTTACACCTACCAAGTCACCCCTAACCACCATTTTCTTGAGGAAAAAAAAAAGATTTATTTTTAAATTTTTTGAGTTAAGTTACATGAATTCTATACTACTATATTCTATGACAACCATACTCTTTGTCAAACAATAATTATCATATTTTTTACTATTTCATTTATATTTCTTTAGTCTTCCTCTTCTAATTTTTCGATTATCATGAACACATCACTTTTTTTTTGTTGGTATAGTAGTTTACCTTCTACAAATATATAGAACCCATCTAAGTAGATTTTCTTTAATTTATCTATGATATATGTCATCCGTATTTTCTTTATGAATATTTTCATTTGTAATTCTATTCTTCTTAGTTTTATCACATATATATATCATAATAAGTTTAATGCGCTACACTATGTTTTTTCGAAGGCATCATCCTTACAAAATATCAAGTGAATTTACCACTTTTTGCACATAATTTTAGATTTAGATTGGTTTTCCATTTATATATATTTTTTGGGTAAGTTGGTTTTCCATAATAGGAAAACAATTCAACAAAAATTAACATTATGGTGCCAAGAAATAATTTTTAGGGACAATGCTAAAAAATAATTTCTAGTTATAAATCTTGGTTTGATCTATTTGTAGCCATTGATAATAAAAATAATAAAGTACATTCAAATAGTAAAGTAACAAAATCTTACACGTGTTTCTCATTACATGAAAAAAAAAGGCATTGTACCGAAAATAACTATACATTTAACACATGCAACGCAAAGGATTAGTTGCTCTGGTGATTGGTTAAAAGCAAATCTCTAGACTAATAATGTTAACCTTTGTTGGGATCTGCTCCATCTGGCTCAATTTCCACATTACTCATTTCTGAAACATTACTATTGCACTGAAGCAGACATGGAGTAGTTGATAAAATATTTTGACTCTTATTGGAAGGAGTTGCATTTAGTCTATGCATGCTCTTGCTGTCAGGCAAAGAAGAAGATGACACATTTGATGCACTATCAGTTTCAGGTTGGGAAATAGATGCCACATTACATGAACTTTCGGTTTCAAGCATAGAAGAAGATGCCACATTCCCTGCTCCCTTGGTTTCAGGCAAAGAATCTGATGTCACATTGCATTTGTTCTCAGATTCAGGCAAAGTGTTAGATCCCACACTACGTGTGCACTCCATTTCAGGCAGAGAAGCATCTCCTACCCTCAGTTCACTACACTTGTCCACCCCATCTTTTCCCCCACCTACAACACCGTCTAGGAATCAATATTAGGTGATATAAGGGAAATTTTAGGATATAGAAAGAGAAGGGGGAAGGAAAAAAGGGGGGAGGAGAGAGAAGAAAATAAAAATTAGCACCATGGCTAAGGAGCTACAGGTTTCTTTCAAATCCAGGGTGCAAACAAAAAAAACAAAAGGACTAGGCTAAACCTAGTTATAAGTTGGGAAAAAATTGCAAGAAAAATAAATGAAGAAAGAAAATTTGCAATGTGCCACAATTTTCATTTTCTCTGAATTTCTCATCTTTGCTCTACCATGTAAAAGGAAAGACAAGAAATGAAACATCGTAAGAAATATGATAAGAAGGACTTGTATGAGAAGCCACAGATGAACTTCCAGTGCCCTTTTTCATATTGGATTGAAATACATAACTAGAACTCATTCTACATTATGATCGTATTTAGAGAATTTGTTCAACAGGATATAGAAATGACCAAAAACTGTGCCAGCAATAGGCAAGCAAAAACTGAATGAATCACATTCGGAGTTCAATCATGCCTGCGGTTTCAAAGGTATGGAGCTCTTCTTTTTTTCCCTCTACTTTCATTGGTAAAGGAGAGGCTGATAAGCTTCAATAGACCTTTTATAAAGAAATCCCCCAACAATAGAACCAATAGTTTTTCCACTACCACATTAATTTTATTTCAAGATACTTGAAGTATATTGAGTCAAAGTTCTGAATAAATACACAAGACAAGACCAAATATCAAAACAAGAGAACTTCTTAGTTGTTAGATCTGTATTTGTTAGTTTCATTGTTATTTGCAACTATTGTGGACTCGATTTTAGCTGGGATGTTGATTGTTACATGTTAGGTTGATTGCTAGCTTGCTATGATGTATAAAGGTGTGTCCCTATTCGTTTCATAAATCATTTCAATTTCTAAATTATATACACTAGCTTAAGTTATCCTATGTAGACCTCCAATCACTTTATTTATAGAACCATACTGACATATCAACCAAAGAACTCTGTCAAGGAGCTTAGATCACATACCTTGGCATTTTCTTCACAATACTTTATAACAACTGAGATATTAGGGCAATGACCAGTCAACAGTGTGTAGGCCCACAAAAGAAGCTTTCGGGAGGTATTCATATCAAGAATTTCAACCCCATCTATGCCCAGTTGAATATATGTTTCTGTTGCTAACTGAGATGGTGCCATATAAAGGTTTACACCTGACGGGGGCATAGCACTAGAGGTGTCCCTATAGAAGTTGTATGAAGATCTCAGCAATGTTGTGGCAGTCTCCAAATCTTCATCAGAAACTTTCTTGATTATAACATTCTTAATCTTGGACAATGAAGGGTTCCACTTTGTTTCAAGAATCTTTAGATGGTTTGGGTCCTTAAATGATGAATTCCATAATTCATCTGTTTNGAAGGGTTCCATTTTGTTTCAAGAATCTTTAGATGGTTTGGGTCCTCAAATGATGAATTCCATAATTCATCTGTTTGCAGATCAACACAAAGTAGTTGGGTGTTTTCTGAACCACTATCTGATAAATTAGGAACTTGGATCTCACTTGAAAGTTAGGTATGTAATGGTGTGATCAGGGCCATGCTGATCGCAAGTGATCGACACCAAGCAGCAGAAACATGCCGATAAACCTTCGCGTAGTTACTATTTGACAACTTTGGGTTCTTTAAACGCTTTCTTATCTTCTCATTTATTCCTTCAAGCATTTTTAGCTGGGCATTGCTCTCTAAAGACTGGATGTATTGATAGAGATATCTGCAAAGGGTAACCTGTTTAAATAATTTTGAATGATAAATGCTTGACAAAATTTCTTGTAGTTTCCTAACCTCTAAACATCACCTTTTAGCATGTATAGTATATGGATGAAGAGGGGTGTCACTCTCCTGTAGGTGATGTCAAAAGAAAGGGCAAGGAGTGGTGGTGGAAATGAAATGAACAAAATGTGTTGTGTAAATGCACAAAAAATGTGTGTGTGTGTACAAAAGTACTTCCCAAGCGCAATGAGTATTTTGAGTGTCATGTTTTACTTGGAAAAGTATTCCAAGGTTGTCTCCTCAGGGAAGGAAAGTTCAAGTGTGTGAAGGTGATTTTGTGAAAAGGGAAAAGTGTAAAATGTTTTGTTTGTGTTTTGGTGATTGAAGTTTGTGAATTCAAATACGATAAAATAAGTGTTGGCTAATCCAAAGAGGTCATTCCAAAGGGAATCCCAACTCAACTCGAAACTTTCCTCCCATGGTGCATAGATGAACGATTGATTCGTAGGAAGCTAGGGACGAGATGGTGAGGATCCAAGCATAAATTGTGACTAGGCCTATGGATTATCAAAGACTCAAAACCACATCCACTTTTAACCCAGTCAAACCGAACCATCGTAGACCGAGATGAGGAAAGAAAATGAGTTGAAATGGTATTCCTAAGAGGATTTTTCCCTTGGTTTAGCCAACTTAAATCTAACTACTCATGATATAATGAAAGACAAGCATAATGTAAATGGACATAATGAAGAAATGAAGCATGGAACTTGAACTAATACAAGAAAACTTAAACTAAGAAGAAAAATATTCAATACCCATTTTAAAGCATGAAAATGAAGAAAACTTAAAACAACAATGGTGAAATCAAAAACATGTAACTAAACTTGGGATAGACTTGAAGTAAATGACATTAAGGTGCAAGAGCTAAAGATTACAAGAGATTAAAAGCTTACTACAACTGGAATGGATAGGAAAATGCAAAAACATAAGCTTTCTAACCACTATTTATCATCTTCTACATTGAACTACTCCGAGCTTAGGTAGCCACCACTTTTGAAATGCTGAAGAATGCTTAGTATATGGAGTGTGAGAGCCTTCAATTTTCGTGCATGGTGGTCCCCCCAAGGTGTGTGCAGGCCTCTCATCAATAGGGGGCTGAATGGATGGGTATGGCAGGCTCAGCCTGCACTCCCCAAGCTTCACCCCTTTTCTCTCTCCTCATTAAATGCCAAGCCTCCAAAGTCTCCATCAAGGGTGTAAGAGGCATGAAGATGTGCAGAAAAATGTTGGGGGGCAAGTGAGAGAAGTGTAGGTGGGACCCCCAAGCAATTAGAGCATGAAAAATAGATGTTTGGGCTGCTTCAGGAGAACGGACTGGTATTGTGTACCGGTACCCCGAACACCATGGCTAAACCGTACCGGTACTCTTCTGCTTTGGACCAGTTTTCGAAGCATTGGCATAACTTTTGATCCGACGGTTGGATTGAGCTGAAATTTTGATACAATAAAGAGGACATCCGGATATACAATGTTCATGTTTTGAACTTGTTCGGATTCAAAGTAGATCATGGTCCAAAATGGGAAACACAGCGGCATTGTGTCAAAACCTTAGGAAACCAGTGGGAAAAACCTTCCAAAATCCATTTCTCTTGGTTTCTTCACCTTCCAAGCCTCTCAATCCTCATTTAATGTGTCCATGCCTTCACCACACATCCATACTAGGTTGCAAGGTTCTAAAATACATGATTTACACTATAATTACCTGCAACATCAAAAATTCAGCATTATTCATAATTTCGACTAACTCTAAGTACTTAGATACAAAAGTTGCGTTAAAATGCATGTAATGAGGCCTTCAAATATGCAATATTATGTGCTCATCACACCCCCTAACTTAAGCTTTGCTAGTCCCTAGCAAACAAAATGTAAAAATTAAGCAAACAAAGATAAACCTAAACTAATTCCACAATTGCATTTAGCACATGCAACAAGCCTTTAAACCCCTAGGTGATCCCTAGTGGATGAGTTTTGTCTCGTAAAGATTTCTAGTGAAGGTACCTACAAACTTCTTTTCCTAGTGTCTAATATTTAAAGCATATTCTCTTATCTTAACTAGCACTGGGATGTCAACAATAACTTTGTACAACACACCCGAACTAATCACACATGAAACACATCATAGCTTAAAATGCTATTCTAGAATATACACCTACACATTTCCTTTCAAAACTCGTGTGTGTGAGAAATGAATATGTAATTTAAGCATTTACTCAATGGAATCCACATTCACTTAGATATTCAAATTCAGCTTTGATGTAAAAACTCACCAAGGGTTTCTCTCAACAATGAATCACACTATGATTATTCTGGCATGCTCTCCATGTGTATATGTGAGATAGAATATTATGCACAAATCGAAGTATGTTCACATATAATCCAAAAATGAAGTATGCATAAAACTGAAACAACCTTGGCATAATCTCATGAAATGAATGCTAGGGCATTAGATAGCAAAACTAACTTCTCTTTTTTTTCTTTAAAAGTATGCATCGCCCATACTTCTCTAGATCATTTAGGACTTCCATAGGTTGTAATGAGACCTTGGGGTGATATCTAGGTAAATGAACAAAGGATATAGGATAACAAAGAGGGTTGTTCCGAGTGCATGACATTTATTTCAAAAAGATCTCCCTTTCTATGGGATTTTCAGTCAACACTATCACTTCACTCTTTATTTCTTTTTCTATCTTTTCCTTAACATTTTCCTTTTTGTTTTTTCCCTCTTTTCTTCATTTCACCCCTTTTTCTCCTTTTCTTGAATTTTTTTTTCGTTCAACTCTTTGAATTCAACTCCATTCATCCCTTTTGTTGAGTTTCCGCCACACTTCCTTTCTCTTTTATAATCACTCATATTCAGCTCTAGGAACAACCAAGGTAAGGTAGGTATCTATAATTTTCACTGGCTTGGTCAAAACATGTGGCATAGAAACAAATTCAATTAAGGCTCAATCATGGCACTAGGGATAAATTTTCACAAGAAAAAGCAAATGCTCAAAGCATTTCAAAGATGGCCTATGATCATTTTCAGATAAGCATAGGGGAGCATTTTACATATCAAGACAAAGTCAATGAACTACCTAAATGCACCTAACCAAAACAAACATAATGAGATTATTGAACAAATGTGGAATTTGAAAATTTGTTCCTTGAGTAAATGAAAGTTCCTCCAAACAAGGATTGACATTAAAGCTCACATGGGTTCTTAATAATGTCCACTATTCATGTCAAGCACTCAAATGTGAACTCAATTCGTAAATTGTCCAAATTACACATTCAAGGTGCACAAGGGTTGAGTTTGAAAGAAAACACATATGTGATACTCTTGGCAATAGGATAAACTTCTATAATGTGCTCATGTATTCAAAATTCAAAATGAAGATCAAGAAATCGCAAATCTCATAACAATTAGGGTAGGGGAATATGGTTCAATATTGGATATTTTTCACAAAAAATGTCCAAAATTTTCAAACTTTTTCATATTTCCAACTTATTCTATACAAAAAGTGGTGGAACATGTAAATGGTGCATCTCACCCCCTAACTTGAGCTATGCATTGTCCTCAATGCACAAGGAATCATGCAAATGAGAAAAATGAAAGCGACGTAAGAAATAAGATACCCCTCTTTTTTTCTTTTTTTTTTTCATACACATTAAACGGAAAACAAAACATTTGATTACATCCCCCAACTTAAACTTGCACATGAAATGGAATGAGATTTTCTACTATGATGCTCAAAATGAAATGAGTCCAAATTAGGGAGTCGTAAACAATTTCTACACTACAACATCAAGAGAAGAAAAATATAACAATAAAATACATCTAACTACTATGTACATGAAAATAAAACAAAAATGACATATGTCAATCCGACTTCAATTCGGATATGAGCTTTCGCCCATTGATTTTTTTGATTTTAAAATTTTTTTTGTTGTATAAATGCCCTTCTTAAACCATTAATCCAAACATAGAAAGGATGTTGACTCAAAATTATCAACCAAACCAAGGTATAGGCAAGTTTATTCAATTACAACAATGGAGTATAAAATTACTCTTCAAAAGTTTCTACACTTAACTCCATTTCAATGCCCTCCCCAAGTTGAGAAATGTGAATCTCAACACCACTCAAAAATGGCAAAATAACCTTGGGCTCATTAGCCTCATGTGAGATAATAACTTCATCAAATGTTTCACAATCTAGAGTGGTGGGAGATTCAACATCAATATGCATTTCGTTGAGATGATCATCCTCAATACATTGACTATGCTCAAGATGTTGTTCTTCATGCACATAAATTATAGCATTAGTCAATGTATTAAGTCCATCTCTAATGTCAAAAAGTTGTTGAGTTATTTGGGCATTGAATTCCATTTGGTATTGCATAAAATCGCGCAAAATATTTTCCAATTCTTCTTCGATTGAGTTCCCATATGTTGGATAGTGGCAAAATTCATTTGGTGGTGTGAAGATTGGATGAAAAATTATAAGATTCATTCTCCCAACCATAACTCGGATAACTCGGTATAACATAGTGGTCAGGGTAAAAAATTTCGGAGGCCAAATTTGAATTTGAACCTTCACATGCAAAGTCATGAACCGG